AACAGCATACAGGATATATATATATATACACACACACACACACACATTATAAATGTTCATATTATATATAATGTTCACATATACTATTATAATGTTAAAAGAGATATCTATTTCAAATAAATTCAAAGATTCATGAAAAAATGTATCACAATGTTCACAAAAATATGAAGCATCACAACTGTTTTCAACAGTTATAATAACCCTAAATGTTTCTTGAGCAGCAAATCAGTATATTAGAATGATTTCTGAAGGATCATGTGACACTGAAGACCGGAGTAATGATGCTGAAAATTCAGCTTTGAATTTACATTTTAAAATATATTCAAATAGAAAAAAATATTTTAAATTAAAATAATTTCTCACAACATTACTGTTTTACTATATTTTTGATCAAATAAATGCAGCCTTGGTGAGCATAAGAGACTTCTTTCAAAACATTTAAAAAATCTTACTGACCCAAACTTTTAATCAGTTGAACTGAATGAATGTAACACCTGAAATCTAATATGTAAATGTCTGTGCTGCTGATACGACAGTTTGAGGTTCAATCCCTGCAACTGGAGACTTGCTGCATTCAAAATCCGGTTCCATCCCTATCAAACACTTGATCATGTAGTTTCAGCGTGATCGTCCCAGCAGCAATTAGTGTTTCGTTCATCCAGTGCCATCACTAACCTGCCAACCAGACCCCATAATTCCCGCACATAAGGACACCTCATACTGTAAAGCTCATTACACAGAGATCATGCTGATCTGTAATGAAATCAGAATGCAGACGGCACATCAGTCACTCACCTGCTTCTGCATTTCAATGTTCAGCCCGTAAGACATTTCATAATACTGTGGAAGGAAACAAGGGCAGTTCAATTACACGATATAAATCACAACTACATCCACCTAAACGACAGAAATGCTCTGCATGTGACACCAGAGGCCTGAAATGACCCATATTCATAGTGAAAGACCTGACACTCATTTCTCTTTCATATTAATGTGTGTAGATCATCATTTGTATCTATGCATTTGGCAGACGCCTTTATCCAAAGCGATTTATAGTGCATTCAGGGTATGCGTTCAATATTGATCAACAATATTAACTCCATCATTTATCATTTTTCAGTACTTCTCAGACAATTTTATCCCAGTTTTCAATGAAATAGTGTTATTTGGTAGGGCATAACTATAAATTGAGCATTTTGTGTGTATTGTCAGTTTGCAAAACATCTTGTATGATTACACTGTATGGACTTGCACTAGGCCTTATGCAATAAAATAAATAAAACAAAATTAACATGCAATATGCCTTTTTCATTACAATGAAATAATATAATATAATGGCAACAAAAGACTCAGTATGGACTTGCACTATGCCTTTATCAATAACAAATAAAATTGTATGGACATGCACTATGACACTATACATAAAATAAAACTAAAATTTTTATTTTGTTATTTATTTTATAATGAATCAAATTCATGCATTACAAAATTATAAAATGTATAATTTTTCAGTACTTGTTCCTATCTATTAGCTGTGAAAGATATATATGCCTATGCAATGAATTATCCCATTTTTGGCCAATTTGAAATTATCGGCATCAACCAATGATTGCGCAGCTTTGCCAGTTGACAGAAAAGTTAGTTATTGATTTTTTTCAATTCCAAAATGACCAAATGCCTTGAAAACAGATCATTTTTTTCCTGCTGTCAAGTCTATCTTGTACAGTCAATCTTTTTCAATGAATTTCAAATAGACAATATGTAAAATATAATAAACTTAAAATTTCACAATTTTAAAAACACTGTGCTGGGTAGTAATTGATTACATGTAATCTGGATTACGTAATCAGATTCCAAAAATTAAGTACTTGTAATTAGATTATATTACATTTTAATACTCGTAATCAGACTACAGTTAACTTTGATTAAATAACATATTATTCACACAATAATTCACAATTTATTGATTCTCCCTAATTCTTCGACACAAGATTATTCTATTTGAATCAATGTGATCAACAAATTAGGTCAAAAGTAATCAAATATATTACCTAAAATGTGTAATGCAATGGATTACCTTACTAACTGTAATTTCAATATATGATATTATTTTATACATACAATATATATAATTTGATTTATTTTTATATTATTTATCCCAGGTTTTCAGTGAGGTCTTTGACTATATGCGCTGCCATTATATTGGTCAAGAGCAAACTGGCCACTAAAAAAAACACACATCGATCGACCACAACTATCAGCTCAGTCACAGCTGAGGATTATGGGTAATGTTGTTGGATGTCACTCTCACCATGATGTAATGTCTGTGCATCTCTGTTTTCTCACTCGCCAACTTCTCACATTCCAGCTTCAGACTGAAAAACAGAAAACGACACACGATGCAAGGTCATGTGACACTGTGCCCTCGTCATGTGACAGTGGTCTATAGGCCACAATATCAGCCCTTCCAACATGAAACAGAACAACTTTTACCACCGCTATTACTGAAGCCGATCCCATTTTATAATGTACACTGATGTTTACTGTTCTAAAGAAAGACGTTCAGTAGCTTTTGTAATTGCTCCTAATGAGACTATCAGGATTAGCTGGCTAATAGTCTGTATCAGCTAATACAGGCGTCTCTAGTCGCTGGAGTGATTTTAGAGCATTACGGTTAGATAATCTCATCAGCTTTGCACAGGTGATCCCAACTGCAGTTCAGAGAGGACGGAGATCATCATACAGATCTAAATCACAACATAATTGAATAAAATGCAGATGCAATAATAGGAAATGAAGTAAACAGCAGTAAACATCAAGGAACATGGGAAGCTTTTGAACATCGGTTTAATTTTATGAGTCAGTTGAGTTACATTTGGAGAGTTTGTGTGAATAATATTGCGATGAATCCTCCAGGATGAGGTGAAATGAAGGTCATGCATCTGTACCTGTGATACTGGGCCTGGAACAGCTGGAATTCCTCTTTTATATGGTCGAGAGTTTCCAGGACTGTGAATTTCACACCGGCGTGGCCTGACACCAGCGGAGCCTGAAAACACATGAGTATTGTGAGGGACGTCACTCCAAAAAGATCCACCAGTTAGCCTATTATTTACTATTTCTACAGTGTAATGGGATTACATTGCTAATTACTCTGTATGGAGTAATCATGTTAGGTAATCTCAGGAGGACAATACAAGGATAGATGGCAAATTGTATTTTCAGTTCTTCATTCAACATACCCAGTGTGGGTAAATGTGTGTCTGCTGTTATTTTCATGATGATGCCATGTAAAATTCATGTTTTATGTTATTATGTTTTCAATGAAATAGTGTTCTTTGGTGGGGTACAACTATTTTCATTTTGCAAAACATCTTGTATGATTAAGCTGTATGGACTTGCACTATGCCTTATGATAAAAAAATAAAATAAAATAAAACACTGTATTAACATGCACCTTTTTCATTACAATAAAATAATATAATAAATGGCAACAAATGTCACAGTATGGACTTCTGTGTGGACCAGTATGCGTGTGTGTGCGATTTGAATAAATCGCATAATTTTTTTTTATTCAGTGTTTTGTAATTTTAGTGTAAGTGGGAATACACAATCAAATCCTCTGACACACACACACACACACACACACACACACTGACCGCACAAAGAAGGCTTCACTGCATGAGTAAAGAGACACTTTATATGGCCCTGCCGTTGACAATAAATGCTTTGTTTTGTCAGCTTTATCAAAAACACGAGACTGGCTGCAGGCACATATTGGACTTGCACTATGCCTTTTACATTAAAAATAAAATAAAATAAAATAAAATTGTTAAACAATGCCAAACAATGATGATGCATGGGTTTGCAATATGCCTTTTCCATCAAAATGAAATAAATACAATTTTGACTGTAAGACCTTGCCAACAAAAATGATTTGACTTGCACTTTGCATCAAAATTAAATATAAAATAAAATAAAAATAATATAAAAAATGAAATAAAATAACAGAAAATAATACATTTTTCCTGTTAGACAATGCCAAACAATGATGATGTATAGGCTTACACTATGCCCTTTTCATACAAATAAAAAATGAATAAATAAATACCTAAATAAATAAATTAATTAAAATAATATAATATTTTGTCTGTTCGACCTTGCCATCAAAAATGACTTGAACTTTTGCATCAAAGTAAAATTAAATAAAAAATAAATAAAAGAAATGAACTAGTTTATTAGTCTGTTATAGACTAATTAGTTGATTAGACATGCAAAAAATGATACTTGCACTGTGCCTTTTGCATCAAAATAAAATATTTTGTCTGATAGACCATGCCAACAAATGCAGTATTGAGATATATATACTGGGTTATGGTGAAGAGCAGATATTCGGAGGAATGGAGGCTTTGGTCAGTAAACAAGAGGGTGTTGTACCGAGAGCCGAGTACAGCGGGACAGAGCCATGAATTGTCACACAGACTGTTCCTCTCACACCAGCCCTGAAAGAACGCAGTCATCTATCTCACACTGTTTACTGTGCAGGGCACTTTCAGACAAGAGATAGAGACGGAGAGGGGAGGGGGGGAAATCACAGAGCCATGAATAACCGTAGGCTGCTGAAATATTCAGCACATGTGGCACAAATACAAGAGCAGTAACAGCCGTGTGTGTGCAAACGACACATGAACCTGCTGCGTTCCCAATCGATGCTTCCTGTGCCGATTGCTGCTACTGGCAAAAACAGAACTGTTCGGGAGGGAAAAAAACCCGCACATCTGTTCGGAGCGATCGTCTCATTCCAGGAGACTGAATCTGTACTGTGTACATCGGCTCTGATGAGCAGCTTGTTAAGGCCTCGATACACAATACTGCTCTGATGAGAACTGACACCATGCACCGCCGCCTCCAACACGCACACACACACGCTCGTGCAGCCGCTGCACTTTATCTGTTTATTAGGGCTGTTCATTTTACATCTTCATTTGATGCCACTAATTATCAAAAAATAACAAAACTTTATGCAAACATAAATAATGATTAAAAGAATTGTTCAAACAAACATGAATATGTACTCACCATCAGGCCATCCAAAATGTAGATGAGCTTGTTTCTTCATCAGATTTGTAGAAATGTAGCATTGCATCACTTGCTCACCAATGGATCCTCTGCAGTGAATGGGTGCCATCAGAATGAGAGTCCAAACAGCTGATAAAAACATCACAATAATCCACAAGTAATCCACACCACTCCAATCAACCAGTTAATGACTTGTGAAGGGAAAAGCTGCATGTTTGTAAGAATCAAATCCATCAAGATGTTTTTATTTCTCTCCTGAAAAACAACTCTAAACAAACATGTGGGTGGATTTTGATGTGAGAGGACAACAGGAGATGGACTTTTTCACTGAGGGAAGCGTTCATTATTGATTATGCTGACTCATATTTTTGCCAGAAGCGACAGTTTAAAGTTAAAATGCCTTAATGATGGATTTGTTTCTCACAACCATGCAGCTTTTCACTTCACAAGGCATTAACTGATGGACTGGAGTGGTGTGGATTATTGTGATGTTTTTATCAGCTGTTTGGACTCTCATTCTGACGGCACCCATTCACTGCAGAAGCTCCACAGGTGAGCAAGTGATGTAATGATAACCTTCTTCAAGTCTTCTGATGAAGAAACACATTCTGGATGGCCTGAGGGTGAGTACAATTTCAGCCATATTTTCATTTTAGGTGAACCATTCCTACCATCTGAGAAATTCAAGCTTGAAGTACCACCTAAATGCACGTTTTTTTTCGCAAATTCTGCAGTGTGTGCAGTCACAGCTTCTACTACACGCAAAGCTGAACTTTTTAAGTTGACACAACAAAGTCAGTGTCTTGAAAACAGTGTTAATGATTCGAGACTGTTAGACGTCACATAACGGCCAAATCAGTCCATCCAGCGCATGTGTGCACGGATAGAAATTTTTTTATTTTAAAAATGTGCACATAAAACTGACAGGATGGGGTGTTGAGAGATGTTAAACTGTGTGTGATTTTATGCTAAGTGTTAGTAGAGCTAGTGTGTGCTAAAGCCAGATCTGATCATTAACACCATCAACGTAATGATAGTAAATACAGCACAGATGGCGAAAGATAGACAAACCACACACATTTTTACATGCGAATATCACTCATACACATATTCACACAGCTTACATCTGGTATTATCGTCACACTCGTGTGTGAACCGAACACAAATGCACAGTGCTGAGTAGAGTGCAACTGTACGGTTCACATTAATTTTCCCATGCAGAAATTGATTTGTAAAAATAGCATATGAGATCCACCAAAAGCAAAAGAGCTCAGCAGTGACCGTCCACTCCCATGAAGCACTGTGAATATCATAGTCGACTCGAGTCTCCCTTTAAATCCACTTACATATTTGCATATCTATCTATACATTTTTAATAAACCTAATATATTGAGTTTATACTTGTAAACAATGACTACTGGTCATCAGCCATTAGTTTCCTGCGCAATTCTTTCACTTATGAATTTAAATGCACAGTAACTATCTTGAACAATAGAATACAAACCTAGACTTGTTTTTTTCAGCTAGTTGCTAATGCAAAATTTAGCTGAACTTGTGCTAAAAATGTAAAAAGACATACTTCAAATACTTTTTAAAATGCACAACAAAATTACTAAAACTTTAACTGAAATGAAAAATAAAAACGAAGAATTAAAATGACTAAACCTTATCTAATATTAAAATAAAAACACAACAACAACAATTTCAAATATTTATAAAAACTGCAACATTATCTGAATGGTTGAGATCAGAGAGGCAGAGGATAATCCCAGGTGTAAAGCGGGCATGAGCGTCCTGTATCAGATCCGACAGGGTTTTGAGAGCAGACAGAAGCTGCCCACTGGAGTCAGATCATCAGCGGCCCAGCAGGCAACAGCACACACAGTCATTACGTATTACCACACACTGTCCGCTAAACACACAGATGTAAAAACAGCACACACTAACAAACCAAACCACATTTGCACACTCTCTAAAGGTCATTCATTATGCACATGAAAATTCCTCACTTTAAAGCTAATGCATGTTACCACAAAACTGGGTCTCCATGGGCCTGTAATAACAAGCCATCATAGCAAAGGTAGCTTTGAAGTGCAGCTCAGTGTGTGAGTGTGTGGTATCGTGTTGCCCAGTGACGATGATAGAACATGACATTTGCAGTGGAGAGTGGGGTGGCCTGGATCCATATGTAACAACATGCAGCAATAACTCGAACAAACCATTCATTCACCCCGTCCATCCATCTGTCCATCCCTCCTCCACACAGAGCAAACTCAAGCCACAAATCTCTCCCTCGGTTCATGAGTGTCCTTCTACTGTATTTCTGCCTTGAATAATGCCTCATTCCTCCTCTTCTGCACATGCACATCTGCCCATCTCTCACAATTCAAAAGTGTTTTAACAAATACAAATAAAATGTGTATGTAATACACATTTTATTTTTATTTGTTAATAAAAATAATTGCCACCCCACTCTCCACTGCAAATGTCATGTTCCATCATTATTAATCATTAATTACAAATAATTAAAAATTGAAATAATTATTACACAAAACAGAATAATTATTATCTATGTATATGTGAAATCAAATAATTTATTTCATTTGCACACTCTCTAAAGGTCATTCATTATGCACATGAAAATTCCTCACTTTAAAGCTAATGCATGTTACCACAAAACTGGGTCTCCATGGGCCTGTAATAACAAGCCATCATAGCAAAGGTAGCTTTGAAGTGCAGCTCAGTGTGTGAGTGTGTGGTATCGTGTTGCCCAGTGACGATGATAGAACATGACATTTGCAGTGGAGAGTGGGGTGGCCTGGATCCATATGTAACAACATGCAGCAATAACTCGAACAAACCATTCATTCACCCCGTCCATCCATCTGTCCATCCCTCCTCCACACAGAGCAAACTCAAGCCACAAATCTCTCCCTCGGTTCATGAGTGTCCTTCTACTGTATTTCTGCCTTGAATAATGCCTCATTCCTCCTCTTCTGCACATGCACATCTGCCCATCTCTCACAATTCAAAAGTGTTTTATTGGCATGACTTTTTAATATACAAAAATAAAACAATAATTAAAAATAATAACTGAAATAAATATTAAAATAAAATGTGTATGTAATATAAATTAAAAATTGAAATAATTATTACACAAAACAGAATAATTATTATCTATGTATATGTGAAATCAAATAATTTATTTTATGTGGAAGAATTACACCTGTTCTAATTAACATTTGTGCATGTACTTAGCCTATATAGGCTATATGTGTGTGCTTTGTATAATTGTGTTTAAATGTGTGCCAGCTTGAGGAGAAGGGCTTCCCCAACTAAGTTGTGGTTCCTCTTGAGGTTTCTTGATTGTAGATTAATATAGATATAGAGTTGTGTCAAGTACAGTAATATATTCAAATAATATATGTGTGTGCGCGTGTGATATACAATAACAATACATATTTATATATAAATATATAATTAAAATATCACAAGTAAAAAGTGTAGTAAAACTGTGGACGCAGAACAGAATCATGCACAATCTAAAAGACGTGCCGTTTAATAATAGGCTCATTTATATATATATCTTATGGTGACTGTAATGGGACTCCAGGCCTGTGTGTTTTCTCAGCCCGTGCATCAATCACTGAACCCATAACGCTGTAATTAACTCTTCATCGTGACCTTAACCCTGAACCTAACACCAAACATAATGCACGTTAAAACGGGCCACCGCGCGCAACTCAGCGATCCATCTGGAAAGGAAAGTTCATTAGGCTGCGGTACCTGGGGTCTTCCGTGCGGATACATGGTTCTGGAGGTCATCCACGGGGATCTCGATGGTCAGGACCGACAACGAACGCCCCCGCGTCCGCTGCGGAAATCAGCTTCGCTCCTCCGCGCTCCAAACGTTCTCGAGCAGCTGAAGAATGACAAGGTATCCGATGAAAAGTTTAAAACCGTTCTATTCGCCCGGATCAAACGCGCTTCCTCTTTATGACGCACAGTTACGCCGCGCTCCAATGTAACAAGATCATCCTGTGCGGGGCGCGTGCACGACGAGCGCGCGTCGGAGATCAGAGGAACATAAACAGCGCTGACCTGCGCGCACACGCGCTCTGAATAATAAGCGAATCGATTCGCTCGAACGATTCACTGATTCACTTGAGTCTCCTTAAAATGTACCACGTTAAACAGCCGAAATACCATGGGTTTTTGAGGAATTTGTCGCCGCTGTGATCAGAGAAATTCACGATTTAGGAATGACTATGTCTGTTGAAGAACAAAACAGTCTCTTCAAAAATGTTAACCCCAGACTTTTACATTCAAATGTAAAAACCGCGAAAACCCGTAGGCAAATCCTGAGGGAACCTATGGCTCGAAAATGTTAATTATCTTCTGCCTCTGACTACAAAATGATCTTCTCTGTTGTTTGTAATGTTAATTCTCCAACGTTTTAATACGTTTTAAAAAGGAAAATATAGCTAGCATGGTGAAACCCTACAATAACGTCAATTTACGAACGCTCTGCGAATCGGCTCGAGCGAATCACTAAAATGATCCGGTTCAAAAGAATGATTCGCTCGCGATTCGGCTATTAAAACCAAACTGCAGCCAGCAAGAGGTGTATTGGATTTCTGAAAATCTAAAATAAATATATGAGAGATTGAGAAGTTGAGAGAAAGGGGTGAAAGATCAGAAGAGAAAAGAAAACGCACAGCAGCTCTTGCCTGCATTACTGCGCCTGTGATATTGACATTAACTGCGGAGAGCCAAAGCTGCTTTTAAGGTCGACCGCTTACATTTGCTTATGAAGATTATATAAATAGGATAAAACGGGGGAAAAAATGCAAGTGATAAAACAGCTGAAAACCAAATTATACTGGTATATGTTCTATTAGTATTCTAAACTCAGCTATTTAAAATTAAATACTGTTTGAAAGAGAACAAAGCGGGAAGCCGTTCGTATCATAACACAGAACATAATGTACAAACATTGCAGCCTTAACGTCTCTTTTCACGACTGGACTCTGATTGGCTAACAAGATTAAAGTCAAGGCCAATGAGTGACACCAATGCCCACGTTGGGTCATTACATCTGCTTTGATCTGGACCAATCGTGAAGCAGGACTTAAGCGCAAGCGCGTCCGTGTTGCATTATGGGTAATGGAGTCTTTTATGTTCTCAATCGCCGCATAATGAAGATGGAGAGCCAGTCGACGTGCATGAAGCGAATTGATATATGTGAATATCCGTGAGATTATGAGTTAATGATCCACATTGACAATCTGTATAAAAGAGGTATCATGTACAAACTGAAACTGAATAATATTAAGAAATAGAACACGGTTGTGATGACATACTGACCGAACTGCATTAGCCTGTATAATCATCATGTGCCATTTCATACTACGCATTATAATTTCAACACCATGCATGCCCTAATATATTGCATAGAATATTAATCTCACTTATTTAGGCTAATGAGTTTTCTTTTATCACGAAATCACAACGAAGTGTGCACATCTGCTTAAAGGAAAATTAAGATGCATTACAAGTTAAAATTAATTTTAAATGAGAATTTGCAACTTAAAAAATCGGCTCGACTGAATCACTAAAAAGAACCGGTTCAAAAGTATGATTCGTTCAAGAAGCCAAACTGCAGTGAATAAAATATTAAAACTCAAAGATTTAAAGATGTAAATCATAATAATACATTTTGTTTTATCACGAATCACAACAATGTGAACATATCCGGTTAAAGGAAATTACATTAAAATGCACTAAAATTAAAAATTAAAACATTCATTTTAATTTAGAATTAAACTGCAACTAAATAAATAAAAAAAAACTTGAATATAGTTTTAGTTATTTTTTTCCTAAATATTACTATCAACTTTTTTGTTAATGTTTTTTTAATTCCCGGGCTAATGAGTTTTCTTTTATCACGAAATCACAATGAAGTGTGCACATCTGCTTAAAGGAAAATTAAGATGCATTACAAGTTAAAATTAATTTTAAATGAGAATTTGCAACTTAAAAAATCGGCTCGACTGAATCACTAAAAAGAACCGGTTCAAAAGTATGATTCGTTCAAGAAGCCAAACTGCAGTGAATAAAATATTAAAACTCAAAGATTTAAAGATGTAAATCATAATAATACATTTTGTTTTATCACGAATCACAACAATGTGAACATATCCGGTTAAAGGAAATTAAATTAAAATGCACTAAAATTAAAAATTAAAACATTCATTTTAATTTAGAATTAAACTGCAACTTTTTAATTCCCGTGTGTGTATATATATATATATAATATGTGTATACACACACACCCACACTAATAAAAACATTTATTATCAGATATAAAGACAGAAGAAAAAATGAAAGGTGGAAAAAAGGAGAGAGAGCCGCAGAACTTAAGAAGAAGAGGAGGAGGAGGAGAGGAGTGGTGCAGTGTGGCGGAAATAAAACAGCGTTGAGAGGATGACGACAGGCTGAGGAATGAAAAGTGAGAGACAGTGACAACACACACACACACACACACACACACACACAGAGAGAAAGAGTTTAATGAAATATCATGTCAGAGCTCCACCACAGGCCACATCTCCATCAACCAGAGGAAATGAACAGACCGACAGAATGTGCGCATACAGTCTGGATTGTGTGCAATAGAGAAAGAAAGAAAGAAAGAAAGAAAGATTGGTGAATTATTACCTTCATTCAGCAGATCGTATCAAATCAGAACTAGGCTACACTCATCAAAATGCAAATATACAACCATTATTATTATAATTATTATTATTATTATTCGTAATAAAACAGTTTGTATAGATCTTACAGAGGTAAAAAACTAAATGCATGCATATATTAATAAAAATGTTTTTAATACTTTCCCACTGGGTGAAAATAATTATCGCAGACCAAACATGTTCATAAGAACAACCATGAACTTCAGACATCCAAAAAACAAAAACAAAAACCCCCCCGAATAAATAAATAAATAAAAATGAATAAATAACTTCAAAATAAACAAATAAACAAATAAAAAACTCAAAATAAACAAAAATAACCTAAAATTAAAATAAAATGCAAAAATAATACAAATAACAAACTTAAAAAATAAATAAAAATAGCTTAAAATACATAATAAATAAACAATAACAGAGAATATCAAATAAATAAGTTGAAAATGAATAAAAAAAAACCCGTTAAAAATAAAAGTAACTAAAAATCACTTTAAAAAAAACAATAAGGTAAAAATAACAAATAAATAGACCAAAAAAACAACAAAACAAAACTGAAAAGTCACAAGGAAACCGGGGGCTTGTTTCATAAAACAAGTTTACCAAAATAAGCCAGGTTTATTTCAGTTAGTCTGACTTATTGTCAGTTGATTTGGTTTAAAATAAGTCAGACTAACTGAAATAAACCTGGCTTATTTTGGTAAACTTGTTTTATGAAACAGGCCCCAGATCAGTTAACAAATAAAAAAAACGAATTAAAACTTAAGTAAAAACAAAAAAGAAAATTTTAAAGCATAAAAAGTGCATCAAAAGAGCACAAAAATGGTAAGTTCTATGTTATCTGTGGTGTAATGCCTGATGCACAGTAGGGGTGGTGATATTTCATTAATATGAGAGCAAAATCCTTCCTTCAGTATTGAGTGTATCAACATTAAACATGCCATCAAGATGATTAAATTGCATATTTGTTTATAGTCTAAATCGCTTATGAAGCAGAAACGGTTTCTGTTTGTCCAGCTTCATTTGTGTGTGTTATGATGAGCAGTCTGTCCAAAACCAGCTGAAATTACAGTCATCAGTGCATCTCATTTTCATCTGCAGGACAGCGTGGCTTTAGAAACACAGCATTAACCTGCACGCTTCATCAGCGCTGTGTCAGCTCTATAGAAGGATCATTAGCAACAGCAGCACCTGCTGTACAGAACAGAAACTGTCTCCCGAAAAATACATTTTTCCATTACTCATTACTCACCCTTATGTTGATCCAAAATGACTTTTGTCCTTCTATGAAACACAACAGGAGTTTTCCACAATCTTCACGCGGCTCTTTTCAAAACAAAGACAGCAAACAGTGACCAGGAGCTTTCAAGCTTAAAAAAAGGACATTCTAAAATGGACAGTTCTGCTCCTGGAATACACAAATATAGCATAGAGGTCAAATATTACCCTTTACATGTCACGCACTAGATTCTCTAGCCTGTGTTTTAATGAAAATGCATGTGCACTACAGTCCAAAGTTTGGAGTCAGTGAGATTTGATTTATTTAGCTGCATTGAATTAATCAAAAATATAATAAAACAGTAATATTGTGAAATATTATTACAATTTCAAATAACAGTTTTCTATGGGAATATATTTCAAAATGTAATTTGCTCCTGTGGTGCGCAGCTGAATTTTCAGCATCATTACTCATCAGTCAGTCGTGTCACATGATCCTTCAGATATCATTAGAATATGCCGATTTGCATGATGCATTTTATTTTTCAGGATTCTTTGATGAATAGAAAGTTCAAAAGAACAGCATTTATTTGAAATAGAAATCTTGTGTGACATTATAAATGTCTTTACTGCCACTTTTGATCATTTTAATGCATCTTTGCTGAATGAAAGTATATTGTCAGTTGATTTGGTTTAAAATAAGTCAGACTAACTGAAATAAACCTGGCTTATTTTGGTAAACTTGTTTTATGAAACAGGCCCCAGATCAGTTAACAAATCAAAAAAACGAATTAAAACTTAAGTAAAAACAAAAAAGAAAATTTTAAAGCATAAAAAGTGCATCAAAAGAGCACAAAAATGGTAAGTTCTATGTTATCTGTGGTGTAATGCCTGATGCACAGTAGGGGTGGTGATATTTCATTAATATGAGAGCAAAATCCTTCCTTCAGTATTGAGTGTATCAACATTAAACATGCCATCAGGGAATATATTTCAAAATGTAATTTGCTCCTGTGGTGCGCAGCTGAATTTTCAGCATCATTACTCATCAGTCTTCAGTGTCACATGATCCTTCAGATATCATTAGAATATGCCGATTTGCATGATGCATTTTATTTTTCAGGATTCTTTGATGAATAGAAAGTTCAAAAGAACAGCATTTATTTGAAATAGAAATCTTGTGTGACATTATAAATGTCTTTACTGCCACTTTTGATCATTTTAATGCATCTTTGCTGAATGAAAGTATTCATTTCTTTCAAAACTAAGTAAATAAATACAAGTTAAAAAAAAAAAGAAAGAAAACAAGTAAATAAAATTTGACACTGGTCAAAAATTATTTACAATTTTATTATCATTTCATTCTTAAATAATTAATTAATTATTATTATTTTAACGTTTCCTAAGCAATGCTATTTGAGAGCTATACGGTGGAGAGGATGACTTATTATATATAAATGAAACCCAAACAGCAGCACTGATAAAGGTCCAATGAATCTTTTATTTGTAAGGCACCATAAATACTTCCTTACTGCTCAATCTCTCATTCATAGTAAATGGTTTAACCTTTTTCTTCCAACAATCGTCTTTAAATGAAGTTATAATAGCAGTTTATCAACACAAACAACATACATTTCCATCAAGTACATCATGTCACATCAACACACACACATTTTAAAAAACTACTACAAAGCTCCAAAATGTGGCAAATATCAGATGAGAGCCATCAGAAGAGGGAGGCTTCAGGAATCGCTCGTCAATGGATTTACGTAACAAACTCGGCTGATGAGACCAAGACCAACCGCTTATCCTTTAGCAGCTATAACTAGTCGAGACCAGCCAGCGCTACACGCATTTAAACAAATCAAGAGCGGAAATGTTCGACTATTAAATGATCATAGATTTCTGTATAACCTGCGCTAAATATCCTCCGGGCCACATACACCATAAACATAGCTTTATACATACAAAAATGTTAACAAAATTAAATGTATATTGATATATTCATACACGTATATCAATTGGCCGTCGGGGTTTTTGAGATCAAGCGAAATCAAATCTAAAAATCAGAAAACTTCATTTGTAGATTAAAATAAGCGATCCAGGGCTCAACGGTGAGCGTTTCTTAGCATACATCACCATGCACCTGGTGTGCTGAAAAACAAAGAATACAAAGGAATCATGGGACACAAGAAACAAATGTCCGGGAACACACAATTAGAAAATACCCACAATGCACCCGTGCATATGTACAACCTTAGGTAGTCTTGTCTTTAAAACTTGCCTTTGGAAATGATGACAAAGCTGATATTTTATTAAGAGAAACTGTGAGCAATGATATATTGGTAACGCTTTACAATAATGTTTAATTTGTTAACATTAACAACACTTAAACGGCATTTATTAATCTTAGTTAATGTTAGGTTCATCATTTAGGCTATTAATTAAAATCAAAAGTTCTATCTGTTAACATCAACTGTGAATTACCATGAACATGTTAATACGTGCAGTACAAATACATTGTTCATTGTTAGTTCATGATAGTCAATGCATTAACTAATGTTTACAAATGAGACCTTATTGTAAAGTGTGATTTTAGATATTTCAAGAACTTAACTTGAAAACAACAGTTATTGAGAGGGAAAAATAAATAGTTAATTATTGTATTTTTTTATTTGATTCTTGGTTATTGTAAAAAAGACAAATTTCAGTCTTAAGTCTTGATTGTTTTTGCATTTTAGTTTAAAGTTCAATTATTTTAATATTAAAGGGATAGTTCACCCAAAAATGAAAAGTTGATGTTTATCTGCATAATAATAATTACATTTAAATGCTTTTTAGTCATCTTGATTGACTAAATCACCTTTTTAGTCACTAATAACATCATTTTAGTCATTAATAGTAACTGAACTTTAGTATCAACGAAAACGCTAAAAACACATCAAATCAAGGTTCAAGACTGAAATCTACTGAGAACCACTGCTGTAGTAGTAGTATGATATAGTATGCCAATTCAAATATCCTATTCCAGCTGCACAAATCATTCAACACACACTCACTGGCTGCCATCTGCTGGTCACACATGGAAACACATTCACTGCAAACAGAAAAACAAACCATGACATGAGCGTGTGGGTCTGCACTAGGAACATTTCTTTGTTTTTGTCAAAACTGTTTTCAGGCCTGTCACTGTCCTACACACACACACACGGTAAGGCCTTCGTAAGGCATTTATACCTTTCTGAGGGCAATATAGACAGAGTCGTCTTTTTATGTAAAACACGTGAATTAATTCCTGTGAAAGGGTTACTAGAGTGTTAAAACTCTTAACGAGACACGCCCAGAATAGAATATGATGAAATATATCGACTAGTAGGTATCAGAGGAATTGACTGCTGGAGGCTGTTGCTGTGTGCTTTCTAAACTGTTCTGAGTGGTTATGTTTGAGGCGCTTGAGAGGACAAGCATGCAGTTACTAGGTTGTTGCGAGAGCATTGCCAGGCATTCTGGGTGACTCATAAGAGTGCATCATCAAGTCTCTATTATATTCAGGTCTCTGGATAAGGACCTTGTTACATGCTGAAGTTCAATACTTGGGGATAGGGGTTTGTTCAAATCACTAACCCCAAGTATGAGCAATATTAACAGAGCCTTAGCAAACACCACTAAAGAAAAGCAAATGAATCAAACAGAATTACGGAATAAAGATTCGCTGTAGTAACAGAGAGAGAGATTGAATCAGACCCAATCCGGTGAGACAGGAGTTGCCTCTTTTTCTGCACAGAATCAAAGCGTCTCTATGAAGGCTAGTTGGATTTGTCTGCGTCGTCCTCGCGGTGGCCCTCGGCCCCGTCGCGGGAGCTCTTGTCCTCCTTGGCCAGGTGTGCGTGAGACGCGAGGATGCTGGACAGAGACAGGAGGCCGGAGCTGGAGGTGACGGCGGGCAGGGTGGGCGGAGTCAAGCCCAGGGGCAGATGGGTCATGGGTAACGCCAAACCTTGAAGCTGAGAGAGCTGGTGAACCTGAAGCTGCTGCTGCGTTTACACCAACAAACAAACAAACAAACACCCGTCACATATAAAACTCATACTGTTGACTTGCATGTGCATTCTTTCTGAAGTTTAATGACAAAGCCACATTACATTTAATTGCATGTTTGCTGTTATGACAGACTATTTTGTACTCGCGTTACTTTGTATTTACAACGCTTACTGATAAGAATATAATAATTTCAATGCACTTTTTCTGCCATTAATTTTGACACTGTTTTTGCTATTATTTTGTCTTAGGAGTATGAGAGAATCAAGATTTTTTTAATAGTGTGGCTAGTTACAAAAACTATTCATTGTCTATTTTAATGAATCATGTAAACGTGAATCTATGATTCAATGATTCGCTTGGGCCATCACTCAAAAAATATTCATGGAAATATTAATATACATATTTTATAAAAAAAAAAAATCATCCTTTACTTTGTTCAGTGCAAAAACAAATAATTAATAATAATAATAATAATAATAAAGCAGTAATAAAACACTGTTTTAATTGGCCACCATTTAAACAATATATTGTGAAACAGATATATATATATATATACACATTTATTTATTTATTTTTTTACCCATATATTTTATAATTTTTTTTAATGGATATCTGTATATAGATATAGATATACAAATAACGAGAGGCTAAAAGTATAATGATTTATTAGTTTTCTAGCAATAATCTGCCAGTCCTACACAATAACACATGAAGTTGAATGGTGTGAGGTTCCTACCCGAATAATTGAGTTCATCTCAGGAGGGGTGACCTGTTTGGCTCGCTCAATCGCCCCCAGGACCTGCTGCTGGTGCTACACACACACACACACACACACACATCAGCATGCATTTCTCTTCAGGTAAAAAGCACAGCATACAAAAACCAACAAAACCCTCTTCTGTCCATAAAAGCAACCCATGACACAAACCAATGGCACATCTGATGAGGCCGAGTGTCATTATAGAGAGTGTGTCATAAATAAATCACACAGTCTGACCTCTTGAGACAGGTAAGGCAACACCTGAGCACAGATTCCATTCAATCTCTTCACAATCTCCGCCTGCAGACAGAACACAAGCACATCTCATGGGTTTACATCCATTAATGAGGTAGCGCTTACAGGCTGCTGATGTTGCACAAAAACACATGAACAACACAGTCAGTCATGATAATGTACGCTGACCAACCGTGTTTGATGAAAGACGCTACTGAATCTAGGACGCTGCATATGTACAAACCATACAAGTAAGCCTGTGGTTTAAAGGAAACTGCAGATTTTGCACAAACATAAGTCTAAAGGTTTACATATCCTCCTGCCATATTTATAAAATTTTTTTTAAACAAATATAATAATGCATTAACTTTCCCCCGCATTTGATGCAACATTTGTGCTGATTCTGACACAATATTCAGATTCTGACCTGTTTGTGCATTTCCATGTTGAGTCCGTATGACATCTCATAATACTGCAGTCAGAGAAACAGGAAAGAAACATAAGATCAAAAATTCAGCTTTGCCATCTCAGAAAAAAAAAAAACATTTGAAAATATACTAAAATAGAAAACAGCTATTTTAAATTGTAATAATATTTCACAATATTTTTTACTGTATATTTACATTTTCAGCCACATATAACATATGACAGCTGCACATATAATGATTCACATTTTTTGACATATGGGATAAAGAGAGACATCTCAAAAAGTCAAAAAACTCACATGAATCCACCCTATATGGGTCTCAAAGAGGCTATATAAACAAGTGTATCGAAGGCAGCAAAAACAGCAGAGGACTAATGAATATAATCTTTAGTTGACTAAAACTAAAGCAATTAAAACATGTTTGTTATTTATAATAAAGCTGAAATGAAGTCAAAATAACAAAATATAAACATTGGATGAAAAACTTTAGCTAAACAAACATTATAAATATCGCCTTGAAGTGAAATAAGTTGAAGAACTGGAAGTAAAACTGAAAAACTGGAATTAAATGAAAACTAAAACTTAAAACTGAAATGACAAAAGCACATAAAATGACTAAAAATTAAACTAAAATTAAAATGAAAACTGAAAATATTACAAAATATTAAAATAAGAACTAATATAAAATATTATTATAATCTATAATAGTGCATCAATAATACTAAAAATAACGCTGGCACTTCAAGCAAAGTGATCTCTTCAAGTAAAAAAGGTGGAGGAGAAGACGTCAATTTAACATCAGTTTCCTTGAAACTTCAGAGCGACCCGACCCGACTGTGATTTGGGCTCATGTTTAGGAGCTTTGCTCTGGGCTAAAGCAGCAGATCGCTCCTGCTCAGACACAGCTGTTACAGACACACATTCACATCGATCCGTCATACTCCTGTGCACACTTACGGCCCATCATACAACTGATCAATGAGACGCTTGTGTATGAACTACTGCATACGCCCCACAGGCTTACAGACAACATTCAATCACATGACAAATAAGAAAAACCTCATTTATATAAGAACTAAAGCCAAAACAATGTAAGAAATGCACATGTAAGGACTAAATAAGAAACTATAAAAATAGCACACTTCTGACAGTTCTTCTCAGAAGTGTGCTATTTTTATTTTATTTTTTCACGGCGGAAACAGCTTCCATATGATTTGCATATATGGTCTGATCAAATATTCTAAACATGCATGTTTTACTCACCATTATGTAATGACGCTGCATTTCAGATTTCTCACTCGCCAGTTTATCACATTCCAACTTCAGACTGAAACACAGAAAGAGAGAAAAACACAAGACAACATGAGATGCACTACTCGCTTCTTGTTAAATGTGTTTATATGTTGTGAATTACATGACGCATCTTTAAATAATGGAAATGTGGAGATGTTCTCAAGGTTTAAATGACACCGTCTGTGTATGACAGCTTCAATATTTACATTTCACCCTAAAACACACACACACACACACACACACATTTCATTGAGGCTGTCAGCTACACTTCACCTCACTTTCTCTCTCTCGCTCTAGAAGCGGGGGAAAAAAAAGCCAGAAAGAATTCTGCAACATTCTATCACTATGACAACCAGTTTCCTGTCTGGACTGCCTCACAGAGGCTTGTGATTGGGCTGGCCATGTGTTGAGAAGAATGTAATCATGAAAGAATGTATGATTTTCTTCTTCATATAAAACCTTTTATATTAAATAGTTACATGTACACTACCATTCAAAAGTTTTTTGGTGAAGTTTTAAACAATTAGTTTTTGAAAGAAGTCTCTTGTGCTCACCAAGGCTGTATTTATTTGATCAAAAAACAAAAACAAAAACAAAAAAGTAAAAATTGTGAAATATTACAATTTAAAGAAACTGTTAATTGTAATTTATTCCTGTGATGCGCAGAATCATTACTCCAGTCTTCAGTGTCACATGATCCTTCAGAAATCATTCTAATATGCTGATTTGCTGCTCAAGAAACATTTTGTATCATTATTAATGTTGAAAACAGTGGAGCCGCTTCATATTTTAGTGAAAACCATGATACATTTCTTTCAGGACTCCTTGATGAATAGAAAGTTCAAAAGAAGATAGTTAATTTGAAATAGAATCTTTTTGATCAATTTAATATCCTTGCTGAATACAAGTTAATTTCTTAAAAAAAATTATAATAAAGGAAAGAATACAGTAGCATATACTATGAAATATTTATATTCTTTCTCTGCTGGGAAAACCTTTTTATGGCCAAATTTTGGATATAAAAATCTACAAATGCACTCTAGAATGAGAATGTCCCTCCCCCAACACCACCTGCCACCGACTAATAGCAAGTAGTAAATCACGGTTTATGACTGTGATGTAAACTGGTTAAAATAAATGACTCGTTTTTGAATCGGCCCATCCCCACGCCCTAACATCAACGCAGGAGAGAAAATTGCATTTGTCAGACCATTTTATGAGGTCTTTAATCACTAAAGCAATAATAATAACAACAACATTATGCAATCACAAGCAGCTCCACAGAATAATCACTCATTCATTAGCATTACTTGTGGAAATACACAGTTACATGGAGCAGTAAGGTGTGTTTTTAAACATACACCAGAGTTATGGCCTATTGACGCTGAGAGTGAATATTCAGCCAAGTCGAAACGAATCTAAAGCGCCACAGTGCAGTCCGATGGTGACGACATTACCACGTTCTGCTGTTTATCCTTCTCCATTTCCCTCTTCCTTCCTTTGTCCGTGGTTTCTCTGATGTGTGATGGCCGGATGGCCTCCATGATCGCTCTTATCTCTGGTGCTGAGCGGACAGATGATGACAGGAAGCTTTTCACACCATTCGAGCATCCCGGAGAGGAATTCACACAGGCAGGGTGTTTTTAGAGTGAGGAGGAGAGACTGCCTGTGCTTCTCAAGGTCGCGTTAAATAACGGTTCAACTAGTTTTGTGTGTATGAATGCTTTTGGTATGCTCCAGCTTAATGTTTTTAAAGAGAAAGTCTCTTCTGCTCAACAAGGCTGCATGTATTTGATCAAAAATACAGCAGAAAAAGTGATATTTTGAAATATTATTAGTTTAAAATATGTTTTCTATTTTTTTTAAAAAGTGATTTATTCCTGTGATCATTTCTCCAGTCTTCAGTGTCACATGATCCTTCAGAAATCATTCTAATATGCTGATTTGCTGCTCAAGAAACATTTTTTAGTAATAATGTTGAAAACAGTTGAATAGTAAGTTCAAACAGTATTTATTTAAAAATAGAAATCTTTTGAAACATTGTCTTTTCAGTCATTTTTGATCAAATTCATGCATCCTTCCTGAATAAACATTAATTTCATTTAAAAAAATCATATTTTTTAAACTTTTGAGTAGTATTTTGTACGAGTGTTTGGTATACCTGTGATATTGTGCCTGCAGGAACTGAAACTCGTCTTTGATGCGATCACAAGAGTCTGACGTGGTGAATTTGAGTGGCTGTGTCGATTGAGACGAAGCCTGAAAAACAAAAGACAACAGATGAGAGATCTGATTCAACATGACCTCTAAATGTTCCGATGAACAACCTAGGCATCGGTTAGGAAGAAGTAGGTTAACACACTGAACCATAAAAGATTTTCAATTGGTAAGACTCTTCCTCTGGGGTTATCAAGCTAATTTTAGTCTTAACTGTTGCTAAAATAAAGTGCATAAAATGTTTGACTCAATATTTGAACTTTGACCACAGAAAAAAAAGAAGCAAACCCCAGCCATGACAACAATCCTTTTGATCAGAGATATAACAGCAACATTTCATTACTGCAAACAGGCTAAAAGAATTCTGCTGAACGCCATAACAGAGCCAGTGATTGCATGGCGTGTTTGAGGTCAGCTTGTCAGGTCAGGCTGAAATTAAAGCTTCGTGCAAATAGAAAAGAAGGGCCATTGGCTTTTCACCTCTGACCTGCTTTACCAGAGGTCACTGGCTTGTGACCTTTAAGACCAGACAGACAGGAACAAACCATCACACATTAGAAAGAGAGAAACAGGATATGAAACTGTGTTCAGTGTGCTTCATAGGAAAACAGCCGTTTGAAAGCAGACAGATATACATAGAAACTGCTGGATAAACATATGTGTGTGTGTGTGTGTTTACACACAACTGGCCCCCAGGGGAGGAACACACCAAAACATTTCAGCAGGGAATGCTTGCTTCACACACACACACACACACACACACACACACACACACTGAATACTCTCTGCAGAATCATTTGTCAATGTGCATCTCTTGTGAAATAATGTTCTTCATCCATTCACGAAAAGCAGCTTCACTCATATTTATCTTATTTTACAAAGCAAAAGTAAAGATTCAATATGATAAAAAAAAACTATTTTCATTTCCAACTTTAGTTAATAATCATCATCATCATTATTATTAATTGTATTATTATTATTATACAGAAATTTCATATAGTAATAATAATTTTTATTATGTAAATTTAAGAATATTATTAAACAGAAAAAAAAATCAGATCCGGTTACTTAAATGATGCCAACTGTGTATATAAATGTCAAAACACAAACATTTTATATACATATATTTATATTACATTTAAAAGAGGAAAATGCATATGGAAAAATGGTTTGGATAAAATGTCTAAGAAAATATAAGTTCATGTAAATGTAAAATGTAAACTAGCCTAAATATTAGAGCTCTGTAAATGTAACCTGTAAATGTTTCCAATCAGTCCTACTTCTATCCTATTCTAAGCTTTTTGCACATTACATTTTTAATTTAATTAAATTTAATTAAATGTAAGTTTTTGGAGAATAAAATGTCAAAATTTGGTTGAAATAAGGTTACACTGTCATTCAGTGTAACACAATATTTATGTAAAAATTCAAACAACATGCTTATTCTGACATATTAAGGGGTCATATGACGTTGCTAAAAAGAACATTATTTAATGTGATTGGTGTAATGAAATGTGTTTATGCGGTTTAAGGTTCAAAAAACACATTATTTTCCACATAATGTACATTATTGTTGCCACTGAATGACATTTTAGTGGGTCTCTTCTGTAAATCAGGGAAAATGTATGATATTTATTTTTTGCTCAGAAAAACAAAAACAAAATTGCAATTAAAATTAAACAGACATTTAAAAAAAAATTGGGGGGAAAAACAACAACAATTTAAAGCAGTATTACACATTGTTTTTATGCTTAAACCCTTTTTCGTCTTTGACCCACATACATACCATACATACATACATACATACATACATGATGCTGGAACCCTAGTGTATAATAATATATTACAATTATCATTCTGAATAATAATTGTTAATATTATTATGAAGGAGAATAAAATAAAGAAAAACAGTATTATATATTAATATATTATTGACCTGTGTACTTGGTGCCTTATTGCAGAATTCAGTAAATATGCTTTTTTTTTAATTTACCATTTTACAATGTCTTCATAAGCAGAACTATTTGTTTCATGAAAAGACATTGAAAAGGTCTTAAAGTTTTAAACTGAAGCACTTTTCCCATCTCCTCCCTCACATACCATCCCTGCATGTCTCTCCTCCCGAAGATGATATGTCTCCAGGGGCAGGAGAGACGTGTGTGTGTGTGTGTGAGTGTTTCAGTAAATCCCTCTAGTCTCTTCCTGCTATTAGTAATCAATTAGAGGAGGAGAAACCGCAGCATCACCTGTGACCGCTGAACACATGAGGCTGTTCCTCCTCTTCCAGCATCCCTCTCAGTGTTACTGCGCTTTATTGGCATGACATTAGTGACACTAAACCCCATTCAGAACATCTTAAGCCAGTCACACGCTACAGGACAGAAGGTCGTTGTCCTGCGCATACTTAACCTCCTGGGGTCTGAGGGTGTTTTGGGGGTCTGGAGAAGTTTTGACATGCCCTGACATTTGTGCTTTTTTCAGTTGCTTATAAACATATAAATGGCTAAAGTCTAATAACACTATAATCAGACTCACAGTTTTCTGTTTTTACACTAATTTGCACAGAACAGTTCAAATAAGAAAAATGAGATGCTTTGTCTATTTTTCTTTGCTCGTGCTTCACAATGCCTTGCTTTCTTTTGCTTGCAGAAAATCTGCAGTATGCACACTACAAGATCTGTGGCTTGCAAAAAAAACAATAATGCTGACTAGCTGGAGCCTTGGCATTATCACAGCATTGTGATTTTTACACAAGTAAGCATCACTCATATTTTGTTAAATGTACTCATAAAACACACAAATCTAAAAAAAGTAAGTAATAAAGAAATACAAAAATGAAAAATAAAATAAAGCCTCTACAACATAAATAAATACTCTAGATTAAAGCAGAATTGGAATACAAAAATAAAATAAAGTCTCTAGAATGAAACAATTGAAACAATA